AGACTGGTTGTATGTGCACTTACTTGTGTAATAAAGGGACCAATTTATGCAAAACCAGTAATGGACCAGCAGTCACGTGTCAACCCAATACTCCATAAGCCTACACTTAAAGACCACTCCAGTACCATTTCTGCTGCTATTTGAATAAATAAATGCTTCTGGTTGATTTCTGTGTTATCTGGACTGGCTGGAAGAGAAAAGGAGTCCCTGGAAATCCTGTTCTCCAGAAGTAACACGACTCCATTTGATGGATAATCTGCTTGAAAAGCAAAAGAGCATTTGATCTCTTTTCAGTACTGAGAGAAAGAAATAAGGGCAGAAACTCACAGGAATGATGATACTCACATATGAGAGACTGTTCTTATGAGCTGTAAAATAGGATATCACTGGCGAAAAGAAGCAGTAAGCCCTACCTCAGATGCAAAGGGTTAGACCTGTCATCCCACAAAGGAATCATAGAGAGAGTCATCACATTTGCAGACCTTCTCTAAAGCACCTCGGTGTTGTCACTGGATGGCAAAGAATAGGAGGAACGTGAGCTGCCTTCAAAGCAAGCAGAATGAAAGGCAAACACCAGGCACCATTCCCCTTCAGACTGGGAAGCCTCGGAATATAGCATGACTGCAAAGATCTTTGCAGTTCAAAAATTTCTGAGAGGAACACACTCTAAAGGTATAAACACTCTGGAGAAGGCAAGGTCTACAAATCACTGCCAGTCAGCTTAGAAAAAATGTTGTCTTTGCTTCTCTGTGGAGAAGTAAAACGATAAAAGACATTTCTTTTATGTATGGATGGCTCAACTATAATGCTATTTTAACATCAGTTTCTTGTAACCCATCTACACACAACTATTTAAACACTTGTTATAAAGTATGCATAGGGTGACTCATCCAGCTGAAGAATCAGCCTAATTGGTCAAAATTTCAGGACACTGTGTGCTGAGCTATAGAGAATCATAATCTCATCTATTAGGAGATGTGACAAGATGCAGGAGCTATCTCAAATTCCTGGAAGAGCTAGTGTGGAATAAGAACCGTTGCCTAGGGACAGTCTCTTCTTTATGATAATTAAAGAGCTCAGATCTGTGCTATTCTGGATGGTTGAAAAATATGCATGCATAAGCTTAAATTCTGGCTTTGGCTTGTTCATGTGAGAAAGTTGTCTAATAATTCATTAGTCTCTTCAATAAAAGATACCCAAAAGGAAGTAATAAAGGGCATCTGTGGATTTTTCTGCCAAGTTCACATGGTCCCAAAATTTCCCCCAGATATCCTGCTCTTCCATATCACAGAATCACAGAATATCCTGAGTTGGAAGGGACCCACAAGGATCATCAGAGCCCTGCACAGGACATCCCCACAATCCCACCATGTGCCTGAGAGCATTGTCCAAACACTCCTTGAGCTCTGTCAGCCTTGGGGCCGTGACCACTGCCCTGGGGAACCAACCACCCTCTGGGGGAAGGACCTTTTCCTGATATCCAACCTAAGCCTCCCCTGACACAGCTTCAGCCATTCCCTGGATCCTGCCTCTTGTCACCAACCACATGACTCAAAAAAATCTCCAAGAACTTGGGGAGAGTTTCCTGCTTCCTTGAGAATATTCCCATACCAGTTGACAAAAACTAGAGAGAAGAGAAAGGCAATTCATAGATTGAATCAAAAACGTTAAAAACCTCTCCACAGATGTTACTAGTGGGTGGGGAGCACAGGCACAAGTAGTCCAGCAACATTTTTACACACACACTCATTAATGATATTCAATCTGCCACATTTCTGTTTGAATTGATGATAATTCTATTGTTTGGGTGAAAAATAAAATACGAGACATCTCACTTTGTATTCTCCAGTAGCAGATAGGAGAGGACCTCTTGGATATGTCTTTGCATCCCTTTACTGTCCTGTCTTTTCCCAGCATACAACTAGCATGTTCTGAGATGTTGCTTCTCACACACAGATCATTAGAGCTGTAGAAGCAAAACAGCTCCCCAGGAAAACCCTTAATTAATCACTGCTGTGGACTCCCACCAGTTGTACATCATTTCCCATACAGGTCTCACACATTTGGAATGCACCAAACCAGTGGACCATCTATACTTCATCTACACTTGGATGGACTGTTGGCCTTTCCCTCTAGCATTTTCTACCTGACAGGAGGCTGGAGTCAGGTGGAGGTCAGGCTCTGGTCTTGGCTACCAGTGAGAGGACAGCAGGAAAGAGCCTCAAGCTGTGCCAGGGAAGGTTCATGTTGGACATCAGGAAGAATTTCTTCATGAAAAGGGTTGTCAGGCATTGGAAAGAGCTGCCCAGGGAGGTGGTGGAGTCCCCATCCCTGGAGGTTGTTCAAGGAATGACTGGATGTGGCACTCAGTGCTCTGGTCTGGTTGACAAGGTGGGGATGGGTCACAGGTTGGACTCGATGATCTTGGAGGTCTTTTCCAACCTCAGTGATTCTGTGAAATTCTCTGAAATCATCTCTCTTGCAAAATTGAATGGGATGGTTTCCCTGCTTCTGCCAGTGTACAGATACCAACAGCCCAGCTCATAACTTTCCTCAGTGTGTAAGCAAGATGTTGTGGATGGTATTTCCAACACACCACATACTTAGAAGCCTATACAAAGCAACCAGCCAAAAAAAGCAAGTTTGATGATCACAGTTATATCATCTTTTTCAAAGCTTTTAAAGGTATAGCCAAACTGAGATCATAAAAGTTAAGTATTTACTATAATTCCCTCTTACAGAAAACAAATGTAAAATGATTTCATCAGTATCAGCTAATAGGCCAGCTTATAACCAGGGGGCAGGATTTTTTAATAACTTCACTAACAATATGCACTGGCACAAAAATGTGGTGCAGTAAGAAAAAAAAAGTACAAAAGGTAATAAATATTACCTATTAGTTCACTTTTGTCAGGAAATAATACTACAAACTTAATGGGATACATGGAAGCCTTATGAAAAGCAGGCTGGGAGAGGCTTATGGTCTTATCCAGTATTAGACAGGAGGCTGACTGATTAATAAGTTGACATTGAAGAGCAGAGAATGAAAATCATATGGACTTCAGGGAAAGGAAATAGTTTAAAAATGAAACTGTGATGCTGCCAGGCTGCAGAGGAAGAGGCCCAGCTCCCACTGGCAGCTCCCAGTGTGCAGGGAGGGGAAGGCAGCTCACACCTCTGCCAGGGCTGTGCTCCCAGCTGGAGCCTCTGGGAGAGAGCAGTGGGAGAACTGCACCCAAAACAGGAAGGGGAGAGGAAAAAATACATGAAAGCAGAGGTCTGAATAGAACAGCAAGTTGGGCATTGCAAGAATAGGAAAAATAAGATACTCTATAGAAGAAGAAATGAGATTTATCCGTAGCAGTGGATGAGCTATATATTAACTCAGTGTGTAAGGATGAGATGTTCTTGATTGCTTTTTTAAAATTACAGGGCTGCAGGATTGAGTTTTAAGCACCCAGTGAGGCAGCACTACTTACAACATCAACAATGCTGTTTATTGGAGCTCCCAAACCAACAGATCATTTCCAGGAGACTCTAAATTTACTGTTGTTTCTCAGGCACATTGTGTCTGGTTTTGATTTGTCTGTTGCTCACACTGGAAAATGTCTGCTGTGGTTTCCAAGACTGGGATTTAACTGTGGTTAATTCACTGTTCCCTTTCCTAGTGACACCAATGGAGAGTTACCACTGGTGGTAAATTGATAGTACACACACAATAAGATCAGTGAAGAATTCAGTCAAAATTACCAGGGCATGTAAGGCCCTGGTAAGTAAATTTAAATCAAAATGTGATATCCACTAAAAAAACGCCAAGAACCTATAAATTTTAATTCACACACTTTTTAAGAATAAATTATGGCTTTAAGTATGCTGGATAAAGGAAAAGAGTAATCCTTGTGAAATATATATAAGTGAATTTCTGGAAAAAACAGAAATGGTACAATTCTGTAGTGTTTCAGGAGAGAGCAGCTAAACATTTCTCCTTGTAATAAGCTGAACAAACCTTATCTTGAAGTTTATTAAAGATGAATGAGAACAATTTTTCCTGTATCACATTGCAATTTTAAAAGCGATGGTTTTCTTCTAAATGACTAGAAAATAATTATAATAAACTTGAGTCAATTCCTATTAATTGTTGAGAATGACACCCTTTCACAAAAATTTCTAAGCCCAATCTGAGCTTTCCAAGGAGCAGGACTATAATCAGGCATTGCCTACTTTCTGTGTTTTCTGCTCAAATCACTGGTGTTTCCTCTGACTTTGAAAATGTAAAATTAGGTCTCACATTTTTATCACTGCCATGCTCTTGGGTTTAGGAAAAGCATCAGGTCTTCCAGTGAAAAGGGAGATAATACTGGCAGCTACACACTTGGAGTCTAATTTTAGGAGGAACTGAGCCATTCTAATATGCTGCAGTCAACAGGAACTCAGGGCACTCAATAATTCATGAGTTTCTTTCCACGTTTGAGTAGAGCCTGTTGAAAACCTCTCAAGGAAACATTTTCCATCAGAAAATTCCAATTCCTGTGAATCAAAATTGCTTACAGGGCAGGTTATGCTTGGATACTTCTCTAATATCTCTTCTTCCATGCAGTCTCAAGTGGCTTTAAATCTCTAATAATAACTTTTTAAATGTGAAGAGGGTTGTAATTAAAAGGTGAAACAAACTGTTTCAATCAACATTCACTGTGATTTTTTTAAATTCTTTCTAAACACAAAAGCTTGAGGAGAAAGAAGATTCGAAGTTGTTTTACTTTCAGTTTGGGCTTGTAAATATTTTTATAATTTTTCCTGGGAAAGAAAAGGATGTAGTTAAGAAGGTATTTTTATGCCCATCCTAAAAAAAAAAAAGCTTTATACTCATGCAGATAAACCTCTCTTTGACCCTGGTGATGAGTGGAGTGTTAAATTTGTTATGTCTTTACTGTCACTTTGATTCAGTTGTTTTACAATGAATGGCATTTGCATCAGAAGGCAGCAGAATAACCATTTCTTACCTTTAGTCTTTCTGTTACACCATCAGTGAAGCTGACTGTGAATTCAGCAATTTTGGGCACTCTGAGTTTTCCTTTGTTCTTCTGGTCAGGCTGATACTCTGTTCTTGTTTTCACAATTACCTGGAAAATATCAACACTTTTAAGGTTTCTGCCCACAGAACAAAACATTTTGGATTTGTTATCTAAGCTTTCCTATATAAACCATCCCCTGGATTTACACAAGCACCATAAATTAACACAAACTCATCATAGCCTCAGGAATAAGAGCGACAGATAAACAGTCAGGCAGATACACAGAACTAGGACAGTGAGCTTATCACACTGAGTCTTAAAATAGCTGACAGCAAAATGTTTCACACCCACTTTTGTTTAGGACTAGGCATTTAATTTTTATATCGTGTTCAACAGGCACAGTAACAGCCCATCCTAAAGAAGAGCTTCACTAATTAAAAGCTCCAACCTATCAAGCTCCACTGGAGCCAATTTAAATTTAGGCCATTTGATGTCTCATTCATTCGGGCTCCAGATTATCAATATCAATCTGATATTATCACCTTGGGTTTTCCCCTGAAGATCTGTGTCAGTTGCTGATTAATCGAGGTTCTATTAATCTTTTAAAAATGAGGTGGTTTCTGCCAATGGAGAAACTATAAATGGCTCTTAAAAGGGTTTGGTCAAATTACCTCTGTTGCATTGTCAATCTACACTGAATTTAACTGTGATCTAGAATGACCCTAAATATTTTTGGTGAAATGGACCCACTGCAAACACGGTGAAGGTAACAGCTAATTCCAACTGCTCCCAGAGGGGATGAGTGTCAGGGCTGTACTCAGAAACAGCCCTTCAGAGGAGTGAGTGTATCCAACCCATTATGCAGGAGAATCTTGAAAGACCACCCATCCATGAGCCCATGCAGCTAAAGAGTGTCTGGAGAGCATTCCAGCAGATCCACATGGTCTCACTCCAGCTGGGAAATGCAAAAGAAGACAAAACAGGCTCATCTTCAGCACTGCCAAGACCTGGAGCTCATCCCTGGAGAAGACACTACTGCTGAGCTTCTGCCTGGGATTCTCAACCCAGGGAAAAGGTCCACAAAGCAGCTGATGGTTTGGTGTGGTTTGCAAGGTTTGGAGAGGTTAAAAAAGGATGGAAAGAACATTGCAGCTCTCAATCCCAGGGCCAACACTTCCACTTTTTGGCCCCCCATTCTGAGCTGCAGGATGTGCAGCCTGGTGAAAATTAAATACTCCAGGAGTGGTGGCTGGTCCACATTAGTGACAAGAGTGATCCTAAAGCCCTTACTTAGAAACAAAAACACTGTGAGGGATTGAAAAAGATTAAGTGAAGCACAAGGTTGAGTTCCCAGCTAATCAAGGATTTATTTCCAAATGAAGACAGCAAAGTCTGGTTTGGACCAAAGAGAACCCCAGGTATTTAATCCTCCTGCACTTAATGCATGTGAAAATCAGAGTGACAGAAAACCAGTGAGGAGTCATAAGCCAATTTTCTGGATTCAAATGCAAATCATTAAAGACTGATGAATATTTACATCCTTCAGTGAATCTCTCTCAACAGTATTTATTACAGTAGCATTTGCAATATTAAGACTTGGGAAGAAGAGGGGACAAAAAGCCACTCAAATACATTTATATCAGCATTTTGTAGCTCAGGGTTTCAGATGGCACAACACAGATGATGGGAAATGACAAATGGGGACAAGCTTGATTTGACAGGTTTGGGATAAATCCTAGCACTACACTCTGAACCTACTACTGAATCAAACCCCATTTTGCCCACTATGTCCAGCACGCTGCAGCCAAAATAAGGCAAAGCTCACTCTCCAACCAAGACCATCTGGCCCAGGTCAGCTCCGAGTTTCAAACAAGCAATAACCTCATTTTCTCCCTCAAAAGGAGGCCAGTGCACTCAGGACTCATGCAGCTGGCCAGCCTTCCAGTCCTCTTGCAGGCCTTTTGTAAACCCAGTACAGAAAATTACAGAGTCTCAGCCAACAACACCTGCCAACCAGTGTTTAGAAATTGCAGTCATTCTGTTTTCAAACAATATCCAACTCCCCCAAATTCATGCTTCCTGCTTGGTATAAATCTTAGCTGCAGACATAATTTTTAAATTTACATGAGGGCTTTTTCACAAACTCTAACACTGGGTCTTAAGGAAGGACCATGAAGCCAGAATAAAAGAAAGAAAATCAGATTAAAACCTTACTTGTTTCTACATACAATTTAATTTTCTGCCATTCTCTGCCATCAACACCAGTTTTTTTATGGATATTTTTTCCACTGTTGTTACATTCAACCAATACCCTACAAGCAGGAAAGCCTGAATTATGCTGTCTGCAGGGATACAGCACAAGACTGAAAATAAACCTACACAGCCCTTCACAAGGCATCTGATTCAGGTCCAGTAGCAATTCTATCATGTCTGTGAATAAATAACCAAGCTCAGTCCCCAGCCAGATCAGAAGCTACTTGAAACACAACCTGCTGACTGTGCCAGCAGCGAAATGTGTGTGCACAGAGCCAGAGTCATCCTGCTGGTCAGTGTTTTTCAGAGAAATTTGCAGAGGTATCAAAAACCTTTAGTAGAAGAGGTAAGAAGTACCTTTGCTAAATGCCTTCTGGCATTGCAAAAGCTAAAAGTCTGTTCTCCAGAAGCATCTTTGTCAGACACCTGGTGGAACTACTCAGCAGGAAGAAAGACAGGGCAGTCAGTGAGGTTTCCTCTTTAAAGGAGAGCACAGAAATCAAATGACAAAGGTCAAAGAGAAAACTGAAAACCTGCAGTGTGGGGGGGAAAGCATTCAATATTGTGCCAGTAATGACAAAAATGCAATTTTGCTGAGGGCATTGGGTGTACATTTAGAAGAACAGAACTCTTGCTCAGTCCCCTGTAGCCTAAATAAATCACCCTGAGCAAACTCTTGCAAAGTTAAAAGTGCAAATTTAGAAAAGGAATAATAATAATCTTATAAAGAAACTTTTCTGTATTTTAAGCATTACTGGGGTTTTTTACTATTTTTTTGGTTGATCTGTTTTCATTTTCCAGTTCTCTGTTTGAGTTGGGTGGGAAGGTTCTGCTTTCCCCACCCTCACCGTTCCCTGCCATCACTCCTTTTTCACCTTTTCTTTCCATTTTGTCAGTGAGAAAAAAATTCCTAGCAGTAAAGTTCCAGAAATGCTACCCAAATTGCTGTTGACTGTGGAGTAATAAAACCCCCCTGACTCCACAGTCGGTGCAATGATCAGCGTTCATTCATCACCGGCTGCCCCGGAGCAGTTCCAGCCCAGCCCAGGATCCCACTGTTTCCATGCAAACAAGGTACATTCATCTCACACCAGGACAGGCTTCCTGGGAGAGCTACTGGCGTTTATATTACAAGCCACAGCAAACACACTGACCCCCATTCCCTCTCCTTGTGGGTTCTGCAGCGTTGCTGACTTGGGCAGAGTCACTCTGGATTGAAAGCAGTGGAAGTGAATATAAAACTGGGCTCCTGTGTAGGCTGCAATTCCAACTGAAGTGAAAGAAATGCTCATCTCCTCGTTCCCTTCCCTGGGATGCTCTCACTGTTGGAAATGAGCTGCTGTAAGGGGGTAACTTCCAGAATTGGCAGCAGCTTGGCTGTGCTCAGGCCTCCTGAGTACCGACAATAAACTGAATCAAACCGGTGCTTAAATGGTCAAGAAATCTCTAGAATACTCACAGAAAAGACAATTAGCCCCTTCTCCACTCCCACTGCAGAAACACCTCTCTGCCCATTCTCTGCACTTGTCTCCTTCAGCTCTCAGCTCCTGCTGCCAGCTCCACCAGGTTTGTCTTAGCTCAGTCCTCCTGGTGAGAAGGGTCTGGCTGGTCTAAGCTGGCACCCCTAACCATAAGCTTATGGGAGTAGAGAATTACTGTATTATTATTTTATTACTATTTATTTATTTTATTATTATTTTTGAAGCAACCTGCACACCTGCAAATGAATATTAAAAAGCAAGAGCAGTCCCAACAGCTCTTTGAATTGTCTGAGCCTTTGTGATTGCTGGATAAAACCCCTTAGAACCCTTCTGGACACTTGTCAGCCTCTGTGTTTTGTTATCTGGGCTCTGATTCAGCACCACTCATAACTGTGCCCCACTTGGTGTGCTGTGATTGTCCATCAAAGAGAACAGCCTCCCTGCCAGCTTAGTCCAGCCCTTCTGTAGTGCTTTACAGTCTGTACTGGGGATGGAGCCCAGGTGAATATAGCTCAGGGGATCTCCCTGCAAATTAACTTGCTGCTGTGACCTGTTCTTAAAAGTTTTCACACTATTTCTCAGAGATCCTCTACCTTTAGGTTGTAGAGACTGTGCTGTTTATGGCAGATGCAATAAAGGGGACACAAATAAATTACCTGTGACTTTCTTCATTTTACATCTGATATAAAACTGTTCTTTGAAAGCTGCCTCCGAGATGAGGTTTGCCCAGTGACTGTAAGAATACAAGAGGAGAGAAAAGGGCTTCCATGGACCACCAAAAAGAGGAATCTAATGACAGGAATCCACACTGCAGTCCTTGAAGCTTCCTCCTTAACCAGGTTTATCTGGTATTTGAACTAATTAATTACCAATTCAGCAAAGCACTTAAGCATGCAAGTAGTCCTATTAACATCAGCAGGATTAGCTGGATATTTAAAGTTAACTGTGCATTTAAGTTCTTTGGCTGATCAGAGCTTCAACTGGCTTGAGGCACCATCCCACAGCCAGTTCCAATGCTGCTGGCAGGGGATCCTGGGAATTCTTAGTCAAGTGCTCAAGGTGCTGTGCACACCAGCATGACCCCAAGATCCCATATTACTGACAGAGGAGGAGGGAAAAAAAGGACAAAAAAAGAACCTCAATGATGTGCTGAGTCACACCAGCATTTGATGGCAGAGTCAGGAGTTCAGACCACAGGTTGCTGCTACTTACAGTGCACCATGTTTCTCAGGCTTTCATTAATGACTGACAATAGTAGCTCCAGCAGATTTTCCATGCAAATATAACATTCTTGGGATTAGCAAAGTATGACTGGAGTGGGAAGGAAGTCATATGCTCTATGGAAAATGGCAGCTCTCTGCAGAGTTGTCCTTT